CATCAACCTAGTACCTGTACATAAGCGAACTTTCTATTCCTATGGTGTTTAATACCTTGTGGTATTTACCCGATGCCCGTGGTACCCTTACATTAAAACCTCTTGTATCATCACATTCTCTTTTTCTCTTATTCTCTCTCTCATAACTTTGAATTGGTTCCAACCCCTCTATTTATAGGTAGAATAGAACATTACATTTTTTTCTATTAGTATTCATATTTCTAATCCTAATAGGACTTTGCTAATTTAATTCATTCTCCTATTTTAACTCTAAAATAAATCATAAACCAATTCTTCTTTCCTAATACAACTTAAAGTAAAGGAAAACAAATATTCTCAATTATAAATTCCTAAACTAAAAATTTGTGTAAAACTTAAATTCCTTTTTCTTCTTACTTGCTTTTTTTTTTTTTCCATCAATTACCAAAAAGTGTTCACATTCCAACATCATTCATTGTTGAATAATGAGGGTTCAACATTCATCTTCATCATGTCATTGATTCTCTTTGTTGTTCATGGTGCTTACAATTTTGACAAGGTTAATGCAGCTCAAGCTCAAAATCAATCTTAACCGTATCATAATGTCATTGGTTTTTGACTTGAACTTTGTCGGAGCTGAATTTGTGAGCTTTGACTAGCTGTGTTGTCGTGGTTTCCTCTGTATGGGTAAGAGGTTTGATGGTGTATTTATATTGAAGAAATGGAATGAAATATGTAATATGTGGACAAAAATACCTTCAATATTAAAATATACTATTTAATTTAAAAACTATGATTATATTTAAAAATAAAAAAACTAATTCTATAAATAAAAATTTAATATTATTTTTTAATTTTTTCTTTACTTTAACAATAAATATTCTAACTCAAAAAATCAAAATTCATGTGTTAATCAATGGTAGTCAACGTAGGTCAATGATCGATCAAAGGCTAAAAATGTTGGTCAAAGGTAGTCAAACATGATCAATGGTGATTAGTTGTTGGTAAAAAGGAAAATGTACGACATTTACAAATGCCTATTTTAATAAGAATTAAATTATAAAATAAATAACATTAAAACAATTTTTTTTAAAGAAAAAGTACAAAATTTAAATTCAAAATAGGGTGAAAAAAAGTAATTGTTAAGGAATCATTAACTCATGTTTTTAAGGAATTGCATAAGATTCTCTCATTCCTTACTGAATTCCAATCTGTAAACAAGAAAATTAAGAATCCCAATTCGATTCTCTTGTCAATTTCAAAAAGTAAACATGTGCATATAGTAATCCCTAATGGAATGCCAATTAATTTGGGAGTAGAAATTCGAAATATCGTGTGAGATGCATGACAGTAATTTGTTTATCATGAGAGTGGTTTGACGCCTCATGCACTAATGAATTAATAAAGAATGAAACAAAGAAAAAAGATTATGTGTTGTAACACACATCAATGAGGGTGATTAATTTAAGAGTAAACGACTTATTCCCACCCAAGGTTTGACAAAATCCCAAGTTGGTACCTCAAGTTCCATTTATTCCAGATTCCCGCCCTTAAAATAACACTATTAACACTTTTTAAGGTAGTGAGGGTGCAATTACCATAATGCCCTTAACCCTAAATTAATAAATTATGTTTTAACCCCTAACTTACTAAAATTATAAATTAACCGTCTTATTTTGAAATTATTTCAATTACACCCTTAGTGACTGCACACCGTCTCGGTTTTCACCAGATTTGGGCTGTTCCGGATGGCGACGAACCCCTTGGTCACCTCCATCACCTTCCCCATCGTCCGTCGTCCAAAACCCCTCTAGTTCTCGACTCATTGGGCCCTCCAATCACCCACGCCGTCAGGCTTAGGTTTTCGTCATTCTTCGCTAGATTTCGGTCGATTTAGGCGACGAAAATCCAATTGGACATCACCACTGCAACCAGCGTCTCCAAATCTACAAAACCCCTATGTCCTCAGAAATCGTTTAGTGGCCATTTGCCGGTGGAGACCGACGAAAACCAATCGAATGTGGCGGCTGTCGTGGCTGGCAATCGACGAGTGATGAGGGGTTGTGAAGGGTAAGGTTTTGTAGAGGGGAGGATGAGGGTTTGAATGGTGGTTACAAGGGTAATTTTGGGTGGAAGAATCACCGGAAAAGGGCGAAAAACGTCGGTGGTGATGTTGGCTAACGTGTGCCGGAGCTTTGTTAGGGGCGACGATCTGCTAATGTGCTCCTCCTCTGTGAAATGACCAATTTACCCCTGAGCCGTTATATCTAACCATTTTTCGTTACTTTAAGGGTGGGAATTTGGAATAAATGGAACTTGGGGTACCAACTTGGGATTTCGTCAAACCTTGGGTGGGAATATGTCGTTTACTCTTAGGGCCCGTTTGGATCGGGTTTAAATTTTTTAACAAGGGTAATATTTGTTAAATTTAGCAGATTACCGTGTTTGGCAATTTTGTAAAAAAAATTTACGGGAACAAAAGATGACAAACAATGCTCAAAGGGGGGTAAATTGTCGGGAATATTTGTACCTCATGGGGGGCTGTTATTAAAACGTTACCAGGTAATCATAATTTCTGTCCAATCTTGCCCCTAAACAGTATTTTATTCGGATGAAAATATCCTTTGGTTTATTAATAATTACAAAGTAGCCAATTTGCATAAACAGACGTATTTGTCCTCATATTTTTCATTTCTGAACGAAACTACCCAGATTTTTATCATTTATTTCAGAAATGCCACACTAATTTGTGTACCCATATTATCCTAAGATTTTTGCATATTGTGACCAATATGCCCTTTAACTTCAATAAAACTACAAGATAAAATTTTTTTTTTCCTAAAACGCATAGGAGGCACGATTTCATTCTCAAATCTATGCGCTAAATTCGTTCGTCACCGGTGGAGAAAAATTGCTCGACGATCTTGTTCGTCAGTCCGTTCGCTAATTCCGATATGTGGTTTGCCCTCTTTTCTTTGAATGTACCGTTATTTGTTTCGATTGCTTTTAAGTAAACCCTAACTTTGAAATTTTTCGTTGTTTGCCCTCTTTTCTTTGAATGTACCGTTATTTGTTTCGATTGCTTTTAAGTAAACCTTAACTTTGAAATTTTTCATCTGTCGTTGGTCATTCATTCTGATAGATAAAGGAATCATTGGGAGTGTTGAGGTAGTTATGCAAATTCTAGATACTACGTCATGAAGAAATTACACCTAGAGTAGCAAATGAAGTTGTTTTCATCCTGGATAAACAACTCCTAATCAATGATTAGATAAAACTCATATCTAGAGCTCATTTAGAAATGAGATAATAAGTGCCTTCATAATTGTAGGAGATGATAAGCTCCTTGAGGTATTAATAGGAGAAGACTAAGAAACAACTCATTTACTATAGCTCCTCTGTACCTTACCTGTTCAAAAAGAACATTAAAATTTTCTATTTTCTATTCTATAAATCAACAATTGGTATTTGAGTTATAAAAGCAACATGGAGAACATATAAGATTTTAAAAAATTAGAAATCAGCCAAAGGACAGAACATGTGAAAATAATCATCAATTTTTACTTGAGAAAAAAATGCTATTGGAGGATGAACCAGCTTTCACATGAAGGGTGTTTTGGTTGTTCTGTTGCTAAGATTTTAAGGGTGTTTTTATAGTTCTGTTCCTCAGTTTTTAACGATGTTTTTGCTGTCCTGTTGCTAAGATTTTAAAGATGTTTTGGATGTTCTGTTGCTAAGATTTTAAGGGTGTTTTTACAGTTTTGTTCCTCAGTTTTTAACAATGTTTTTGTTGTTCTATTGCTAAGATTTTAAGGATGTTTTGGCTGTTCTGTTGCTAAGATGTTAAGGGTGTTTTTACAGTTTTGTTCCTCAGTTTTTAACGATGTTTTTGCTATTCTGTTGCTAAGATTTTAAGGATGTTTTGGTTGTTCTGTTGCTGAGATTTTAAGGCTATTTTTTGCTAAGGTTCTAAGTTGCTATTTTTTATGCTCTGTTGCTGCTTGTTGTTGAGATTCCAAGTTGTTGCTTGATCTATTGTGCTGTTGAGACTGTAAGTGGCTATCCTTTGTTGTTGTGGTATTAAGATTTGAATGACAAAGTACAAATAATGAAGATAATATGCTGCTGTTTTGAATTTTATAAATCTGGTATATAGTCTAGTTTATGGGAGCATATTAGTATAAGTGGACTGATATGCTCCAGTATTTTCTAGTTTAAGGGAGCATATTAGTATACAGTACTGATCTAGTTAGTGTAGTCTAGTTTAAGGCAGCTTATTAGTATAGTGGGGTGTGTCTTGCAATTCTTTACAGTTTATATGTTTGGTACAGGAATACCTTACTTTATGGGTTATGGAGTGATAGGAATATTCGTCAATTGGATCTCTATGTGTCTATACATGGTGTACAAAATTGTGTGAAAGATTTTGAGGTCTAACTTAGTGATCTTTTTTGGTTTCACTGATTTATGTTTTTCGTTTTGAGTAAACTAGGTGTTAAGTTAAATGGTTAAAAACAATTAGAGATGGGTCCTGAAATTTTTTATGGGAATATTGCACCTCCAGTGGTGCAATTTTATAACCTATTAGTATGTTCAATTTCATCCTGTTCAGACACTGTTGGCCTTCATATTTTGTTTAGTTTACATCTCCTGTTTGTTTTGATAGTGAAAACCGATTGTTTGAAAAATACTTTGTCACCAAGTAGTAATTATTTGTAATGGAATTAACTTGTTTGGATGTTACATGACCTTAATACATTGTTATGCTATAATTGTTGGCTTTTAATTTAATGCATGAGAGAATGTATCATGTCCAACTTTCTATTTATCTTCTATTTCAACCCGTTCTATCTGCACTTTCTCTAATATGATAAGGAAGGAAATTACTTAATTTGCTGAAGAGTATCTGTAAAAAAATATGCTATCATTTCTGAATGTACCCCTTACAGTCAATTTTGAATTTGTTGTACATGGTTGATTGACTTCATTATGCTTTGACCCATGAATTATATGAAACAATTATGGCCCGTTTAACAGTTAGGCAGAAGATGCACTTGGTTGCCTTTCTAGTCTTCCATTTGGACATGTTGGAAACCATGTACACCATGCTCGTGCTTCTTGGGTTGGCTAATGCACTTAATATACGGGGTAGACGTAGGGCTGCTATATTATATGCTAGTGAGTCTGCGTCTAGGTTTAAGGTTAGGTCACTCAATTTACACACAATGCTTTTCTAAAGTGATGAATTATGTTTTGAGAGCTGTAGGATGAATAGGGTTGTATTTCACAAATTATGTAATTTACTTACTATACTGGCAACTTAAAATCAACCCGTCATTCATCCGTAGAAGAATTAGTTGGGACCTTTCTTCACATCCTTGCTCATAACCAAAAGACTAGAGTAATGAAACGTCAAATGCGTAGATCCACTAAGACGGTAAGCCGTAATTTTCACTTAGTCCTGAACGCCGTGTTCAGGTTGCATACCCTGCTGTTTAAAAATCCAAAGGCCATTCCCGAGAACTCAACCAATGAGCGGTGGAAATGGTTCAAGGTATAGTGTAATCATTAGGTTTACGATGCACATGTAGTTCAGTACCTTAATAAAATCAGAGTTATTGTTTTCTCTAAAATATTATTATTGTTGTTCTATGTTAGAACTGTTTGGGAGCCTTAGATGGAACATACATAAAGGTTCATGTGCCGGCTGCCGATATACCTAGGTATCAGTCAAGGAAAAGTGAAATCGCAACTAATGTCCTTGGTGTATGCACACCTGACATGCAGTTTATATATGTCCTCGCTAGGTGGGAAGGTTCCGTTGCAGATGGTAGAGTTCTTAGGGATGCCATTACTAGGAGAAATGGATTAAAGGTCCCCCAAGGTAATATAACCAAAAAATTGTATTTTTAATCTTAGGGTCTGGCATAATAGTGCACTTAGTAATTGTTATTGACTTGAAATTGTTTTTTTTAGGGCATTACTATTTGTGCGATGCTGGATACACTAATGGGGAAGGGTTTTTGGCCCCTTATCGAGGACAACGATATCATTTGAGTGATTGGCGACAAGGTCACCAACCGGCATCACCACAAGAATTTTTCAACATGAAACACTCTCAAGCAAGAAATTGTATTGAGCGATGTTTCGTCATCTTGAAAGCTCGATGGGGAATATTGAAGGACACATCTTACTACCTCGTCAAAACTCAATGTAGAATCATTACTGCATGTTGTCTTTTGCACAATTTCATAAGGTCTGAGTTACCCATTGACCCGGTTAAAGCGGAGCTTCAGGAAGAGGTGAACGATGAAGGGGAAGAGGATGACGAAGGTGAATTGATCAGGCACGTTGAGCCTAGTCCCGCATGGACTGCATTTAGAGACAATTTGGAAGCTGAAATGTTCAATACTTGGATGGCTGCGATGAATGAATGATTGTGCTTTTGTTTAGTTTATGTGTATTGTTGTGACTTTTTAAATTTATGTCTTTTCTAATTTGCCATGTATGAATGAACCCAAACACTAATCTGCCTTTGTTAGGGGACTTGTACATTGACTTACATTATCGTAATGTGGATGCTTGATTGTTAAGTGATCCTGTTCATGTATTATTCTTCCTGATTGACATAAAATTATTCAACTCACGCATATCAGTTGATCGGACACTGTGTATAAACTAACATTTGTAACCTGATTTTTTTTGTACAATATCACTAATCGTGGTTTTTTTTGTTTTGTTTCAGCAATATGGACAGGTCAGCATCACTGTCCTAGGAGTCCGACAGGAGCATTAGCATGCATGATGACCCTGTGCCTATGAAAATAGGCAGAAAGGGTAGGGCAAAGGCTAAGGGAAGTAAGCGGCAGTGGACAAAAAAGGAGAACGCTGTGTTGGTAGAGTGTTTGCTGGAGCTAAAAGAGTAGCCATTTTGGAGAACTGAGCGGGAGTTCAAGTGCGGTTACCTAACTGAGGTCAAAAAGATGATGTGGGAAAAGCTTCCTCATTGCGGTCTGAAAGCACAACCATATATCGACTCGAGGTTGAAGATGTTGTGGAGGCAATATAATGCAATCAACGAGATGATTGAGAAAGGTAGTGGTTTTGGGTGGAATGATGAGGAGAAATGCATTACATGTACCAAGGATGTCTTTGATGACTAGGTCTGGGTAAGTATGCTTCTGTTTGTTTATTTATGTAAATTTTAAATTCTAAACTGCACGTTTATATGTACTGACACATATGTCGCATATCTTATGATGAATAATGTTTTTGTAAAGTCATCCTTTTGTAAGAGCATTGTGACACAAACCGTGAGTGCACTATGATTCCTTTGTTGCAATCTACGGTAAAGACAGGGCCAATGGAGCTGGTGGAGAGACAGCAGCTAATGCTGTTGAGGATTTAGATAATGACAATGCCAAGAACAATGATGAACAGATGGACATCGATACCGATCTACAAGTCGATGTCGAGGGGCACACCAGTGCCCCACCCAAGGATGATATAGTTGATTCTACTTGTCAGACGGCTGTTGCTAGTCAAAGCAGAGTTGCGATCAGCAGTAAGAGGAGGAAAAAAGATTCCGAAAAAGCAACAGACTGGCACACCACATTGGACAGGTTTGAGACTGCCTTGGATGGGACCCGAGCAAAGCTCAAGGGTATTGTTGACTACTTCAAGAAGGAACCCAAGAGAAAGACCATAAAGGGCAGGTGTATTCCATCATTTCTCAATTGGATGGATTCATAGTCACTGAGATGCTGACAACGACTACTGAGATTTGCAAGGAACCTCACAAGATAGATATCTTGTTTGGGTTACCAATGCATGTGCAGACATAATTTGTGAAGATGCAGCTTGGAGCAAGTAATGAGTACCGACCAACATTTGATTTCTAGTGTAGTCTTGTAAAGGGTTTTCTTTTTTGTGCACAGGGTTATTAGATATCTGACACAGTGGTTGTATTCCCGTAGTTGTATTTTGCCTATAGTCTAACAGCATACAGGATGATGTCTTTTGTTATTTTTTTGTGAAACCAAGTCTGTCTAGTAATTAGATGGTAATGGTCTATGATTGCAGTTACTACGGGAAGATAGAATCACTAATATGGAATGTAAAAAACTTTATAACTTTGGTAGTGAAGTATAAAAGGATGTGTACATGTATGTGCGTTTAATGTTTGTTGTCTTAGTATGTTGAATGTGGCATTTTCATTTACTTATGGAAACTAGCATTTAGGTCCCCAGGAAAGTATGGTGAAGGTATTCTAGCATTTATAAACTGTCATTTCAAGAATTTATGTTTTCTTTCCCTCTTTGATGTGCTTTGTTTTATGGGTTGGTTTGCAGGAATGATGGGAGGACCACCATGTTGCCCAGTTGTGACGATAGAAAGCACAAAAGTTCGTGAACAATGTCAAGAGAGCCACACAGTTTGTACCGATAGCAATGTGAAAGGTATTACGATTGGATAGTTATGGACTCAATTTGTTGTATGGTTGGGAATAATGCTTATTAACGTAGCTCATAATTGATTGATGTGCAGGTGTAGGTGAGACCAGTCATTCTGTACATGAAGAAAATGAGGAGATGCCTTCAGCCTTAAAGGGCAGCAAATGCAAAAGTACCTAGCCTTGCAACTCTTAAACCGACTAATGCTTTCAGTTATGAAAGATTTATGGAATGGTTTGCTAATGTAAATGAATGATGAACATATGTAGGTGCCACAAATCAACGAAGGGCAAGTAGGCGATTGGCAAACAAAAAGGGAGGGGGCATGTTGAGCAGCATTATGTTTGACCTGTACATAGGGTACAAAACTGTTTTACAATTGACATGCTTAATGTCATATTTACATAATATGTTTACCTCATATAATGAGACTGCATATGTACTGATCTGCAGGAACTTGTGGAGGAGTTTGAAAGTAGACAACTTGCACAATTTCATCACCCTGGACTGCATGTGGTTTTTTATGTATACAAAAGAAGTGTACAAAAGGAACGTGCTAAAGTGGATTCACGAATTGAACATATTCTCAAGAAAATATATGTTCATTCCTGTAGTCCTGTGGTGAGTTTTTTCATATTGTGGTTGTACGCATTGGTTTTATACTTACCAAATGCGGACATGAGTTGATTTTGGTTGCTTAAGAGTTGACATTGATAATATGCAACAATTATGTTGACAGGGGTCATTGGAGTTTACTGATTTTGTGCAACTTTGGTGGAGATGTAAACTTGGAAATTAAAACTCGATCATGGTGCTGCTTGATTTGCTTGGATCAGAAAACGGAAAGATGTTGCAACCTCTGATTCAACAGTAAACTTTGATTTTTTCACAATTATTTGCAAGAACATTTTAGCAAATGATAAAATTGTATTGTTGGAGATGTGGTACTGGGATCGGTTTCAAATTGTCCAAGCTTAATTATGCAGGTTTGTGAGGGATATTTATGAATTAGGAACAATGCCCCAGCATCCAGCATTGGTTGACAAATTGCCTTTGCTAGTGCCTCAGGTGATAAAATAGCATATTGTCTTGGTTGATGGTAATTAGTGATTGATATGTTCAATATTTCATGTATTTGTTGTGACCGATAAATGCACTCACCAGGTCCCTCAACAACGAAACCAGATGGATTGCGGATATTTCGTACTATATTATATAATGAAGTTTGTGGAAGCTGCCCCAAAAGATTTTTCAATTAATGACGGGTATCCTTACTTTGTGAGTACTGTAGTCTTTTAATTGATCAGGTTGATTTGTTTAGTCTCTATTCAATTATAATATGTGCATTATTGTTGTTGATTTTTATTGTCCACAGATGACGCATGATTGGTTTACAAAAGTTGAATTTATAGCCTTTCGTGACAAACTGTGTGTGAAGTTCAGTAGCATAGCCTGCATTTTATTCATTTATGTATATTTATTGTGTATTGAGTATTTGTAATTAGTTGCGGATGTAAAATGGATTTCATGTAAAAAAATGGTGGTGATTATGTTCACTGTTGCGAAGTGCAAAATTATGTAATATTATTGGTTCACAGGTTTACAGAGCATCATTATTCATCTTCTAGTTAACTTATTGGAACATTACTTAGATTCAGCATAATGTAAATGCACAGGTACTCCGAAATATGTGATATGACAAATGCACCAATAATTCTCACAATTTTCACACATAGTTTCGGCCTAGGATAAGTGGAAAAAGTTAACAGATTTCCTCAAATAAGCAAAATTGTTTCTAAATTCCAGGCATGGTCTAAACCAAAAAAAAAAGTTTATTTTTCTGTTGCCTTGAAAAATAAAAATTGACCCGGATTCAATTGAATTAAAGTAGAAATAAACATGTATGAATTATAATTTATGGTAATACAAAAATCAGAGTTTTAGATAGAGTTTTAAATTCGGAGATGCCAACTATATTTGTTGCAATACCAGGATCAGGTGTTGAATGTATATCCAACAGAAAATACAATAGGTTTTTTTTGGAGTTTCAATAGTCTGTGTAAATTTCTCAATAAATAACTTAATAATAAAATACTTGGCTAAAATACAAGAAAAAATATTTTGTTAATTGATAATTTCTTTTATTAACCAAACATGTTAATTATTTACACCCAGTAATCATCTAAAGGGCATTTTAGTAAAATGTAATCAAGACATCTGCTGTTACAGCAAACCAAACAGATTAATTAGTAATACAAGTAATCATTGCAAGGGCATTATAGTAAAATGATATTTAAGGACATCTGTTATTACTGTCAACCAAGCACATTAATTATTAATACATCCCAATTGAACCAAGCACAATAATAATTTAAACCCGGTAATCTACAAGGTAATCTTTCTTTCCGATAACCTTATTACTAAGATAAAAAAAACATTATATGATCTAAACGCCCCCTTAATTTTTTTATTTTTATTTTTTGAAATCAAATGAGTTTTATATTCATTCAATAGGATTGACTAAGGATCCAATACAATTTGGAACATCTTCAAGCTCTACCAATACATCATCTATGGTTAGAGCATCTTTAGCTAGAGTATGAGCAATCACATTGGATGCTCTATTAACATGATGAACCAAAAAAGTTTGAAAATTCCTAGAAATCGCTTTAGTATCCATAGAGATTAGACCAGCTTGACCCCAATTCTCTTCATCCCTAAGGAGATCATTGACTACTTGAAGTGCGTCCCCTTCCAGGATAATTTGGTTAATACCAATATCTGTTGCTAGAATGACTGCTTGAAGAGCTGCGAAAGACTTAGCCAAGTATGCATCTGGGAACATGGGTTTCTTCATTCTCATGGTTGCCATAAACCTGCCTTACCAGTCTTGAATTGCAATTCCAACACCAATTGTGCAGTCTTCTTTTCTCACACTTGCATCCCAGTTTATCTCGTAGATACCTTCAGGTGGTGAACGCCCC